GTTTCCCACTGTAATTCCTTTTGTTTTTATACTGCTTACGAGGACAGTTCCTGTCATATACTTTCATGAATGTGTTTAAAAATTGCTCATATGCTTTATCTAAGTCTTCCTCTCTGTAAACTGATTCCCAGTTTTGCCCCATAAAATCCTCTTTTAGCCTCCTTACAGCATGTTCATTCGTCACCCTCCTATAGAAAAGATTTGTTTTTGGCCTCTCTTTTCTATACTGGCCATCATAAACCACAAATACTGGTAGATGATCACTGATATCATTTATAAGTAATCCACTTGTCATTTTGCTGTCAATAACATTGGTTAATATATTATCTATTAGTGTTGCATGCTAAGTTGTTAATCTACTTGGTTTTGTAATTTTTGGGTATAAACTGCATCTATATATTGTGTTAATAAACTCCTCAGTTCCTGTGTGCTTGTTAGGATTCAACAAATCTATATTAAAGTCACCACATATGAACATTAATTTATGACTTATTGATGAGTAATTTATTTCCATCCAGTCATTAAATTTTTCTATGCTGGCTCCAGGTGCTCTACAGATGCAGCTTATTACAACATTCTTCTTTTTTTCCAAAAGTAGTTCTACAGTCACACATTCCAGTAAATCATCTACTGCCCTTGACATTTTCTCCACTCTATTATAACAAAAGTTTTTATCTATGTACAAGGCCACACCACCTCCCATCTTATTCTCTCTATTTGTGCATACCAAGTCATAGCCATCAAGGTCAAAATCCATTCCCCTTACAGTATTAATCCAAGTTTCAGAAATAGCAATTATATTAAGAGCCTAGTAAAAATGACATGTGACCTTCACAATCTGTGAAGAAAAACAATCTGGAATCTGTGGTGCCACATTAAGCTGAACCTCGCCTAAAAAGAGAAGACCAAAACTAAATCAATTAAAATATCATATATCCATGATCCTCAAAATGATCAGCATACAAAAACATGAAAGAACACAATAAAACATGAATGTTAACTGAGCTAGTTAGAAGCCACATTTCAATTATTTCATGTAAATTGTCTTTTAAAAATAATTTCACATAGTCTGGGAGAGTGAAGTCGAGCGTGTACTGTAACAATGATTAATTCAACAATTCATGTTCAACTCCACAATATATATTTTCTTACCAAGGTCGATCCAGGAGCCCCAGCTACTTTACTGTCCTTAACTGTAAGAGGACACCACTTGTCCCTCCTCTGACCAGCTGTCCTTATATTGCGCCTGTTCCTGACAGTACAGCAATTTATGCATTGAAACTTTGTCCCTATTCGGCTAACGTTGTTAGAAAATCATAAAGCAAGCAATCAAAGAGTCATGAAGTCCTGGTGACACGTCTCATAGTCCAGTGCATCAGTTCTTCAATGTACTGGAGGACAGTACATGAGATCTTAGCTGCCAATTTCCTCAGGTAATCCTGCTAAATTTATTAAACACATGAAAACAGCGGCACTCTGAAAGATGCAGAACATAAGTCAGTCATATTAAACCACTTAACCTCAGGTGGAACATTCAACAACAGTGCTCCATTGGTGTGGTCCCTATATCCCATCTTATGCACAATTCTTATTGCTCTTTTTTGTAATATATACAATGGCTGAAGTGAGCTTTTGTATGTATTTCCCCAGTTTTCAATGCCATACTCTAAGTATGGTAAAATCAATGAAGAATACAAAATGCGCAGTGCTTTCCCGTCCAAAATATATCTAACCCTTGCCAATATCGATATATTTTTTGCTATTTTGTGCTGAACATATCTGATATGAGATTTCCAGGAGAATTTATCGTCAACTATGACACCTAGAAAGTTAATTTCATGTACTTGTTCAATATTAACTCCCACAATTTTCAATTGAAGTTCATTATCTGGTCTTCTTCCGGGTTGCGAGGGAGAGCA